ACACACACACACACACACACACACACACAGTGAGAAGTTGGGGGTTTTAAATCATTGGTAGTCTAAAACAGCAAGTTTGCTCCACGCCAAAAAGGCTTTTCCTGCCCACTTTTATTTAAAAGAAAACAAATGTTCTTGTTAAACAGATTCCCACCATCAAATGAACATAAACAGTAATCAGCCTTGTGGCTCTCTTTGCAGCTCTACTGCTCAGACCTCATGCATTGGTCCTCCAGACCGTCTAACACATAGTCCCAGTGCAACAACAAGTTTTTATATTTCTTTGATAAACACAATCACAGAAGACCAAATAGTAGAAGTTCATTTTTAGGGTTTACATACCTTTTAAGGCTTGTTATGGTGAACAAAAGCAAAAAAGATGGCACAATTAGAGGAAATCTATATTTAAAGAAAATCAATTTGCCATTTCTGCCTCTCCTTCTGAAAATATTAGGTGCCTGGTTGTAATAGTAGTCTACTTACGTACAACCCTTTGGCCAAGCCATTATTGTCTGGGCTGTTTTCAGCACAGCCTCTTTCACTTCTTGGTTCCATAAGGTTTAGATAATAGGATTCAGAAGAGGAGTCACTATTGATGGAACAACAGATACCTTCTTATTAAAATGAAGGGAATCACCACTAGCTGGTCTAATGAACATGAACATTATTGTACCATAGAAAAGGTGTTAATAAATCTAAATTATGATTCGGCACTTATATTGATGGCAAGCTTGCAAAATATTTGGTTTTTATGATTAGTCATAATTAATATTAATATGTGTGAATGGTCTTTTGACAAATGGTAGTATTACTATTCTTCAATTATAGCTGAGACCAAAAGATATACAAGTTAAGCTGAGACAGTAGATATGGGTACCGTATTTTTTGCCGTATAAGACGCACTTTTTCTTCCCCAATACTGGGGGGGAAATGTCAGTGCGTCTTATAAGGCGAATATGGAGCGGCCGGTCCGGTATTTCCACCGCGGCCGTATCAGAATACACCGGGCCGGCCGCTCAGCTCTGCAGCGGGACCTTACCTGTTCCTCTATCCAGCGGCGAGCTGTCTTCCCGGCTTCTGTAGTGTGGGCACTGGGCATGACAGCCGGGTGCCCAGTGCGCATGCACGAGAAGCGGTGCACTTTGTGAATGGTAAGGCGGTACCTGGGACACATGACAGATCCCAGAAGCCGCCGGACCAATCACAAAGCGCAAGTGCTTCTCGCTCATGCGCACTGGGCACCCGGCTGTCATGCCGAGCGCCATTACAGAAGCCGGGAAGACAGCACGCGGCTGGATCGAGGAAGGAACAGGTAAGATCAAACAAAAACTCAGCGGAAGTAAGAGCGGGTACCTGTCAAATTCAGGTACCCGCTCTTCACTTCCCCAAAGGTCAGCAGTCATCTGTACTGTCCGCAGTCTCTGGTCATCCCTGTGCTGTCCGCAGTCTCTGGTCATCCCTGTGCTGTCCGCAGTCTCTGGTCATCCCTGTGCTGTCCGCAGTCTCTGGTCATCCCTGTGCTGTCCGCAGTCTCTGGTCATCCCTGTGCTGTCCGCAGTCTCTGGTCATCCCTGTGCTGTCCGCAGTCTCTGGTCATCCCTGTGCTGTCCGCAGTCTCTGGTCATCCCTGTGCTGTCCGCAGTCTCTGGTCATCCCTGTGCTGTCCGCAGTCTCTGGTCATCCCTGTGCTGTCCGCAGTCTCTGGTCATCTCCTGTACTGTGTCTGCAGTCTATTAGTTCAGAATTTTTTTTTTCCTGTTTTCTGCCTCTAAAACCTAGGTGCGTCTTATGGTCAGGTGCGTCTTATACGGCGAAAAATACGGTAAGTTAGCTGAGACAGCTATACCAGCTGAAGGCTGAGTATACTATATTTAGGCTGGTAGTATATGTCAAGGTTATTAGAAGTGGCTTACTATTACATTACGTATTTTAATAGTATCTGTGTGTATTTAGTATACGTTTCTAACATTGATACATATATATAGTTTAGTGATTATACATTGATATGTTTCTTAAGAGCTATATTATTCTTTAAATATATAGCTGAGGGTTCCATACATATGTTCCTGTCCATCAAAGACATTATGTGAGTGTCGTCCCCTCCCTTCTATGCCATACAAGGTATTAAGATGACACACTCATGCTGCATAAAGGGGGCCTTGAGGGACAGAGACTGGGACTCACACACGCTAACACTGACATTCTAAACACACACACACATGGCTGTTCAAGCTGGAACAGGTGCTGCTCAAGACAAGAAATAGTCATTAACGTCACTTCCGTCTTCTTACTCGGACTCTGTGTTGTACAAGACAAGATCACATGAAGGACAGTAAACAGCACATGGCCGTACTTCAATACATAAAAAATGGTGACTTTATCTCTGAACTTTTGCTTGTTATTTTTACAGTAGTTTTATCTACATGGAACTGTTCATAATACGCTTTACATTGTTATTTTACAACCATTGTGTGAATAGAATAAAATCACACTTCATTTTATTTCAATGGCTCTTTCATTCATAATCGCCTCAAGACACTAGAAAAAGTATTATATGTTGTCTAAAATCCAACAAAAGGATAACAAAAAATAAATGGCAGGCAAAAGTAGAAAATGCTTTACGCCTTGCTGATGCAGAAGACAATATAATATATCTTATGCATGTATTACCCCGAATGATAATCAAAGTCAAGAAAAGACACTCTAAAGTTACAAAAACATATGGAATAGAAAAGATGCATTTGCAGCTTTTGTTGTATCAGATCAAGACAAGCGAATCAATGGGATCAAATCGCAATAATAGTGATCTATCTTATTTCCCTTTACAGTACCAAAGTGTGGATAGTCTCCAGCATGCAGCAATCACCCCAGTGAATCCCACATTATACCCATGATCCCAGTATAAGCATAGTACAAACATTGGGGACTCATGATCATTAAATAGTGAGGTGGATTGCAAATTAGAGACCACACACACCATTGACATACACCATTGCAGTCAGGAGATACATTTCTGTTGCTCCAAGAGAAAAAATGGAAGTAAAACTGAGCCATGCAACCAGCTGAAGAAATGTTTTGATCTTCTGTTTTAAGAGACCATAGGAGTCTAGCAACTAGCGCGACAGAGGGATACCAGAGCTTAAGGAATGACAGTCCACCAATAAAGAAGTACATTGGTTTATGTAAATGCTGGTCTGCTTTGATAGTGACAATAATGAAAATGTTGTTGTAATGGTGGCAAATGTAGATAATTAAAAAACAATAAAAGGGCAAACATTTTTCTGGCGTTCAATAGAAAAACCCTAAAAGAAGAAAATCAGTTATAACAGACTGGTTAAACTGACCTTTTACTTCCATGGTGATCTGTAAAGAAAAGTCCTCGGAGTCACAATAATTTGATATACACATATATATATAGATCAAACTGTTTCTACCATGCCATTGAAAAAAAAAATCTTAGCAACCCTAAACAGTTCTTCTGCACTTGTTGTCCCCTCCACATTACCAGACTCAACATAGCTCTGTAAACTCATTCTTAGATTTCTTCCTCCTCACAAATTGACAAAAATAAGGCATCACATTTTTACTACACTATATGCTTCTTCCACTTCACTTCCTGACCCACCCATTTTTAAACTGTTTCTTCTCTCTCCCACTTCTCTCTACTTGACTCTGCATATATCTGGTTAAATTGTTCTCTAATATGAAATCTTCCACCTGCATACGTGATCCCATTCCCACCCATTTATAATTTAAATCTTGTTTTAGTTCTCTCTATGCCCCATTATTCTCAATATCATAAATTACTCCCCTTAGCACTGGTTTTGTTCCAACAGTCCTCAAAACTACTGCCATCACCCTGGTGCCCTGACAAACCCAATGTCAGGGCTCCAGGGTATGACCAGAGGTATGTGACTGACGCAGGGAAACGCAGACTTCAGACTTTCAGATATGTTATAAACAATATAATTTATTAACACTAACAATACAAACATAAACTCAGTGCAATACTAAAAACATAACACAGTGCAAACGAACCAAAACCAAAACCACCCACAGATAACAGTACATACAATGCAAGCGTCTTCAGGGGGCCGGTCAATAACAATCGGGCAGGTAGGTACTGGGGGGGAGCAAGCGGTGAGAATGGTCGGGGTCACAAGCCAGGTTCAGCAGGTATGCGGGCAGCGTGGTACAGAGGGTCAGCAGAGAGGATGGTCAGGAAACGAGCCGGGGTCAGAGCAGGAGAGGGTCAGCGTAATCAGAACAGGCAGAGTTTGGCAACAAGGAAACGTACTAGCAGGAACACAGGAACCAGGAACAAAGAATGCAGGATACAAGATACAGGGCCAGGAAAAACACACACACACCACCAAGGCAAAGACTGCAGGTCTGGCCATCACTTAAATACACCTGCAGTTTCAGGTGTTTGGCTGACTGCAGGGTTGAGTCTCTGATTGCTGGGAGCACCTGCTGGCCAGCCCTGAGTACTGCAGCCCACAAGGCAGGTGAGTCCCACCACTACTGGCAAGCCCATTCCTAACAGTACCCCCCCTCCAAGGAGCGGCCTCAGGACGCTCCAAACAGTCCTAGCTGGGCAAAAATGTTCCACCGCCCGGGTCTGGTAACTGGCGGGATATCAAAGACTGGCACATCGGGCAGGGACTCCGGGCAACGGCACACCGCGGGCAGCGGCACATCGGGCAGGACTCCGGGCAGCGGCACATCGGGCAGGACTCCGGGGCCAGCCGGCACATCGGCAGCGGCACATCGGGCAGGACTCCGGGCAGCAGCACATCGGGCAGGACTCCGGGCAGCGGCACATCGGGCAGCGGCACATCGGGCAGGACTCTGGGCAGCGGCACATCGGGCAGGACTCCGGGCAGCGGCACATCGGGCAGGACTCCGGGCAGAGGCACATCGGGCTGGACTCCAGGCAGAGGCACATCGGGCTGGACTCCAGGCAGAGGCACATCGGGCTGGAATCCGGGCAGAGGCACATCGGGCTGGACTCCGGGCAGAGGCACATCGGGCTGGACTCCGGGCAGAGGACACATAAGATCACCAGGCGAAGCAGCAGGCACCGGGCCACCATTGCGGAGCAGCAGGCACCGGGCCACCATGCGGAGCAGCCCCCAGGCGGACAAGCGGCGGGCGCCGAACCCCCCGGCGGAGCAACAGCGGGCATCGGGTCACCAGGCCATCAGGTCATTTGGCTCGACAGCGGGCACCGCGTCATCTGGCAAGGGCAGTGGGCACCAAGTCACCAGGCACGACAGTGGGCTCTGAGTCAATTGGCACGACAGCGGGCACCGGGTCATCAGGTACCGGATCGTCTGGCTCGACAGCAGGCACCGGACCACCAAGCGGAGCAGCAGGCACCGGGCCACCATGCGGAGCAGCAGGCCCACCGGGCCACCAGCGGCGGAGCAGCAGGCACCGTGCCACCATGGCGGCGGAGCAGCAGGCACCGGGCCACCAGGCGGAGCAGCAGGCACCGGGCCCCCAGGCGGGGGCGTAACAGGCATCGGGCCCCCAGGCGGGGCGACAGGCCTCGGGCCCCCAGGGCGGGGCGCCAGTGGCCTCGAGGCCCCCAGGCGAAGAGCGGAGGCACAGGTCGCCGGACCCCCAGGCGCGGAGCGACAGGTCTCGGGCCCCCAGGCGGAGAGCGGCGGGCGCCGGACCCCCAGGCGGAGCGACAGGTCTCTCGAGGCCCCCAGGCGGAGCGGCGGGCGCCGGACCCCCAGGCGGAGCGACAGGTTCTCGGGCCCCCAGGCGGAGCGGCGGGCGCCGGGTCCCCCCAGGCGGAGCCGACAGGTCTCGGAGCCCCACCAGGCGGAGCGGCGGGTGCCGGACCCCCAGGAGGAGATAGCGACGAACAGGTCTCTCTAGGGCCCCCCAGGCGGAGCGGCGGGCGCGCCGGACCCCCAGGCGGAGCGACAGGTCTCGGGCCCCCAGGCAGAGCGAGCGGGGCGCCGAACCCCCCGGCGGAGCAAAAGGTCTCGGGCCCCCAGGCGGTGCGGCGGGCACCGGAACCCCCAGGCGGAGCGACAGGTCTCCGGGCCCCCAGGCGATCGGCGGCGGGCGCCGGACCCCCCGGGCGGAGCGACAGGCACCGAGTCACCAGGCACGACAGTGGAGGCTCCGAGTCAACTGGCATGACCGCGGGCAACTGGGTCAGACATGGATCGTCTGGCTGGACAGAGCGGGCAATCGGGTCACCAGGCATCAGGTCATTTGGCTCGACAGCGGGCACCGATCATCTGGCAAGGCAGTGGGCACCAAGTCACCAGGCACGACAGTGGGCTCTGAGTCAATTGGCACGACAGCGGGCACCGGGTCATCAGGTACCCGGATCGTCTGGCTCGACAGCAGGCACCGGGTCATCTGGCGCTGGATCGTCTGGCTCGACAGCGGGCATCGGATCACCAGGCATGACCGCGGGCACTGGGTCATCACAGGCATTGGATTGTCTGGCTCGACAGCGGGCATCGGGGCACCAGGTATGACAGCGAGGGCACTGGGTCACCAGGCATTCAGGTCATTTGGCTCGCCAGCGAGGCACGCGCGTCAACCTGGCAAGGCAGTAGGCACCGAGAGTCACCAGGCACGACAGCGGGCTCTGAGTCAATTGGCACGACAACGGGCACCGGGTCATCAGGGTACCGGATGGTCCTGGCTCAACAGCAGGCACCCGGGTCTCATCTGGCACTGGATCGTACTGGCTCGACAGCGGGCATCGGGTCAACCAGGCATGACAGCGGGCACTGGGTCAATCAGGCATTGGATTGTCTGGCTCGACAGCGGGCATCGGGTCACCAGGTATGACAGCGGGCACCGGGTCATCAGGTACCGGATCGTCTGATCAACAGCGGGCATCGAGCCAACTGGCCTAATAAGATCATCAGGCTGGATCAGTTCATCAGGCTGGGTAGAAGCATCATGCTGGGTAGAGGCATCAGGCTGAATGGGAGGCATCAGGCTGAATAGAGGCATCAGGCTGAATAGAGGCATCAGGCCGGGTAGAGGCATCAGGATGAATGGAGGCAGCAGGCTGAATGGAGGCATCAGGCTGAATGGAGGCATCAGGCTGAATGGAGGCGTCAGGCTGAATGGAGGCGTCAGGCTGAATGGAGTGCATCTAGGCTGGGTAGAGGCATCAGGCTGGGTACAGACATCAGGCTGGGTACAGACATCAGGTTGAAGTGCGGGTACCGAGGCACCAGGCTGAACCACGGAAGGCAGGTTCTCAGACGGCAGGCTGACCGGACTTTTGGATACTGGCAGGATGGTACTGGTTGGAAAGAAGTTTCGCTTTTTTTCTGGTTTTAACTACTGAAGCACTGCAAGTAAACGCAGGTCTGCAAACGAATGGAGCAGCTGGAGACAGAGAAGAGCTGGAGGATGGAACAGGGAGTGAACAGTTGCTACAGACAGTGGACTTCTTTTACAGGGTTAAAGGCAGGATAGGTGCAGCGAGTGGGAACAGGGTACTGACATGCGGTAGATAGCAGGGCAGGAGGAGCTGTTGGGAATGCAGGAAATAGAGCTTTGAGGAAATAGATTAGAAGCAGGACTGGGTTTTTGCAAGCTGACTGAGGCTGGGTGCAACAAATCTGTCCATGTCTGCAGTATGGGTTGAACAAAGCTGAGCTTACACAAAGCCTGTCTGACCAAAGACTGCACTGCGTTTTATACAATCTCTTAGTATCTGTGGTGAACATGCAGAATAACGCTCCAGAAAGTAAACATGATCATCCTCTAATAACCATACCAGGACTCTACCTGGTCGGCACTAAATGGCGGCAAAAATTCAACCCTGCATTCGGGGGTACCAGATGAAACCAACTCCGCACAAACCTGAATCAAATGGCTGCACTCAGAGAATTCCTGTGCCCTGATCTACTATGAACATGAGCGAGCCGTTATACAATTCTAGCAGTTCATCCCGGGGATACTCCTTCAGAGTCTGATAAGCATATTCTCTGTCATAAAACACTAGCAGATATAAATACACTAGCCTCATCAAGATCCATCCTTCCCATCAACAAGCCAAGATAGCTTCCCTGTGCAGCCACTTTCTGGGGTCAGGATTGGCCTTGGTGTTATGTCAGGGCTCCATGGGTATGACCAGAGGTATGTGACTGACGCAGGGAAACGCAGGACTTCAGATATGTTTATAAACAATATAATTTATTAACACTAACAATACAAACATAAATGCAGTGCAATACTAAAACATAACACAGTGCAAACGAACCAAACCAAACCACCCACAGATAACAGTACATACACAATGCAAGCGGCGTCAGGCGGGCCGGGTCAATAACAATCGGGCAGGTAGGTACAGGGGGAGCAAGCGGAGAATGGTCGGGGTCACAAGCCAGGTTCAGCCAGGTAGCGGGCAGCGTGGTACAGAGGGTCAGGCAGAGGGATGGTCAGGAACGAGCCGGGGTCAGAGCAGGAGAGGGTCAGCGTAATCAGAAACAGGCAGAGTTTGGCAACAAGGAAACGTACTAGCAGGAACACAGGAACAGGAACAAGAACAAGAATGCAGGATACAAGATACAGGGCCCAGGAAAAACACACACACCAAGGCAAAGACTGCAGGTCTGGCCATCACTTAAATACACCTGCATAAGCAGTTTCAGGTGTTTGGTTGACTGCAGGGTTTGAGTCTCTGATTGCTGGGAGCACCCGCTGGCCAGCCCCTGGTACTGCAGCCCACAAGGCAGGTGAGTCCCACCACTACTGGCAAGTCCATTCCTAACACCCAACATGGCTCTGTGAAAATTATGAGATGTTTCCTGTATGTTTGCCAACATCCCTTATATGAAATTTGCCCAAGAACTCCCCTATAAATATGGGATTTTTTTAGGCAATGTAGAGGCAACGTTTAAAAAATCATTTTTTTTAGTAACCTTTATATCTAAAAAATATAAAACACTAATGATCTTCTGTTAACTTCTGATTATGGCTCACTAACTGTTCCATTGGGTCTTAGTTTTGCCTTTGATACTGTAGACCACAATGTTTCTCTCTTGCCTTGAAGGCATATTTGGAGTCTCAGAAATGGCTCTGGAATGGATTAAGTCATATTTACTGATTGCTGTCACTTTGTTTCTCTTGGCAGATTCCAGTCTGATGTTGGTCTAGTCAAGTACTTACATAGTTACATAGTTATTCTAGCTTAAAAAAGACAAAAGTCCACCCAGTTCAACAAAAAAAAAAAGTTATAATCCTATACCGACAGTTGATCCAGAGGAAGGCAAAAAAAAAAAACAGCAAAGCATGATCCAATTTGCTCCTGCAGGGGAAGAAATTCCTTCCTGTTACCCTGAGAGGCAATCAGATATTCCCTGGATCAACTTTACCTAAAAATGTTAGTATGCAGTTATTTTATGTGTATCTAGGAAAGAATCCAGGCCTTTTTTAAAGCAATCCACTGAGCTGGCCAGAACCAATTCATGAGGGAGTCTATTCCACATTTTCATAGCTCTTACTGTAAAGAAACCTTTCTGTATTTGGAAATTACATTTCTTTTCCTCCAGACGTAAAGAGTGCCCCCTTGTCCTCTGTGATGACCTCAGGGTGAATAACTCTACACCGAGTTCACTATATGAACCACTGATGTATTTATACATGTTGATCATATCCCCCCTTAATCTCCTCTTCTCAAGAGAGAATAAATTCAGTTCCTTTAATCTTTCTTCATAGCTGAGCTCCTCCATGCCTCTTATCAGTTTGGTTGCCCTTTTCTGTACTTTCTCCAGTTCCCCAATGCTCTTTTTGTGAATTGGTGCCCAAAACTGAACTGCATATTCCAGATGAGGTTTATTAATGATTTGTACAAGGGTAAAATGATAGCTCTCTCTGAGGTCTATACCTCTTTTAATACAAGAGAGGATTTTGCTCGCTTAGCATGGCATTATTAAGCTTGTGATCTACCAGAACTCCCAGATCCTTCTCCACCATTGATTCCCCCAGTTGTACTCCCCCTAGTATGTATGATGCATGCATATTCTTAGCCCCCAAGTGCATAACCTTACATAATCAACATTAAACCTAATTTGCCACATACAGTAGTTGCCCAATTAAACAGTGCATTGAGGTCGGCTTGCAAGTTGGAGATATTCTGTAAGGACGTTATTCCACTGCACAGCTTGGTGTCATCTGCAAAGACTGAAATGGGATTTTTAATCCAAGACCTTATATCCTTTACAAATATATTAAAAAGTAGGGGTCCCCACACTGAACCTTGGGGTACACCACTTTAAAACATAGGTTTCAGTTGCACATAAGAGAAAACCAGTATCTTAGCACTTGTGTGTCAGCATAACTTCACATTATTCACTAAGCTAAGAGTAAACTGACTTGCAAAGCGAACAGCCTTTTTTTTCCATTAGTAAATCAACCCCCCTGACTCACATGACTCATGGAACCACGGAACTTGTATGCAGCAATAGAACAGTTGTTTTTATGACGCTAGTTGTGGGACAACTGTGGGCACAAGCCCTAGGAGTATTGCCTTAGATAAAAAAAAAAAAAAAGTTCAGTTTTTTTTCTGGTTCAATAGTTTTTTATTATTGTTGCAACAAAAAGATTTAGTACAATTCAAATAACCCATGCAGGGGGGATTGACAAAAGACCAGTCAAT